GATGCTACCCACCAGCCTCTTCTCGTTACGCTCTGCTCCCTTCCGTTCCTTCCTTGAGTTCACTGTAATCGTTTTGCGCAAGCTCCTCGCAGGCCAGGCAGGGCAGCAGGCACACGCAGCGCCCGGCCGCCGCCACGCCTGCCGCGCCCCTCAGCTGGGCGTGGCGGGCCGCGCGGCCGCTCCCACGCCACCGCCGCTGCCGCCGCTCCCCGGTGCCGCCGCCGCCGCGTCTGCGAGGGATGCGTGTGATGCGAAGAGCAGCTGATAGTCAGCCAGGACCTCTGGCACCTCTCTCATGCGCAGGTCGTCTGCCGCCAGGTGCATGAAGCGCCCCGGCAGCCGCACGCCGCCATCCGCCAGCGCCTCGGGGCCCTTCTCCCTGCGGCGGGATGCGGGGTGGGGGCGGTGGCTGTTGGCAGCTTGGCAGGCAGGCAGGTTGGCAAGGGCAGCAGCAGGGGCAGCAGCAGGCTGGTGCGGAACAGGCTGGACTCCAGAAAACAGGTGACGCTAGGCAGCCCAAGCCGGCTGGCTGGGGACATGGCCACAGCGCACGGCAGCCGGCAACAGGCAGCAGGTGCCGCCGGCCAGCTGCCGGCCGCAGCAGCTGCAGTGCACGTGAGCAGCATGGTCCAGCCCAGGCGCGCCAGCCGTCGGTAGTCCGCCATCAGCACCGGCAGCTCGCCCAGGTGCAGCTGGCTGGCGGCGCGGGTGGCCAGGAACTGGCGGGCGGCGGCGACCAGCTGGCGGGTGTCTGTGGCTGCCGCCGCTGCCGCGCCGCCGCGCGAGGCGGCCAGGGCCCGCTGCCCCAGCTGCAGCAGCTCGCGGTCGTGCTCCTCGCTGATGGCGGCGGCCAGCTGCTGCGCCGCCAGCTGCGCGCCGGAGCTGGTGGCGGGCAGGCCCAGGCGGCCGCGCAGGGAGGACAGCGCGGTGGACAGCGTCGGGATGCTCTGCTGCAGGTATGCCAGCCCGCCCGTCAGCGCGCCGCTGCTGCCGGCGCCGGCGCCGCCGCCTCCCGCCTGCTGCTGCGGCGACGGCGACGGCGGCGCCGCCAGCTGCTGGTCTGCTGCGGCGCCCGCCGGCGCTCCTGCGGGGATGCCAGGAGAGCCCTGCCGCCCCGGCGCCGCCGCGGCTTGCTTGCCCGGCGGCAGCGGCAGCGCGGGCGCCGCCGTCACCTCGGGCGGCGGCTGCGAGGCGCTGTCGGCCAGGTCTGCCACAGACAGCAGGTCTGGCTGGGGGGGTGCGATATCCTCAAGGTCCAGCCACCAGGCATCACCCAGCGTGGAGGTGCCGTCGGTGCCTGCAGGCAGCCACAGCACGGAACAGCAGGGTGTGGCAATGTGCTGGTTCAGGGGGCAGGATTCCCCTGAATTGTGGGTGGGTGGGTGGGGGCTGGCCACAGCAGGGAACAGCAGGTTGTGCTGGTTCAGGCGGGGAACTCCCCATGCAGGCTGCACCAGCACCAGCGGCGGTCCCGCTGTAATTGCGCCACGCTCCCAGCCTTCCAGCGGCAGGCCGGCGCGGCCGGCGCCTCGGCCGCGCACCTCCAAACAGCAGCAGGCGGCCGCCTGCCAGCGCGGTGAGCGTGTGCTTCTCACGAGGCGCCGGCGGCGGTGACGCCAGCTCCACGCCACGCCACGCCACCCGCTCCTGCCGGTCCAGGATGACCACGTCTGCAGGCATTCCAAGCAGGCAGCAGCCAGTCCGCGGTAGGCAGGTGGTGCAGGGGAGGAGGGAGGGCCAGGCAGCACCGCGGGCAGCACAGCAGCCGGGCTAGTGGGCAGGTGCCAGTACCAGCTGCATGCTCGGGACGCGTCCAGGCACGTCAGGGGCGGTGCGCCCCAGCTGCCGGCCGGCTGCCCCTGCCAGCTGCCGGCTCACCCGACAGGTACTCGCTCCGGCTCTTCATCCCCATGAGCGACCGCTGCTCCGTCAGGCCGCCCACAAACACCACCCAGCTCCCTGTCACTGCAGCGGCAGGCAGGCAGGCACGGGACAGCGGCGCACGGAGTCAGCGCCCAGGCCGCCATGGCCGCAGCCAGGCCTGCGCCTGCAGGCATGCCGAGCCGCTGCTGGCAACGCGAGACGCAAGGTCCCAAGGGGGGAAGCAAGGCAAGCTCGCCGCTCGCCAGCTCCCATACCGCCACCCGCCCCCTGCAGTACCTGCGACCGCGTGCCCGCGGCGAGGCGGCGGCGCGGGGCCCTCCAGCTGCAGCTGCGTCCACTGGGCGGGGCCATCCCCCTCCAGGCCCCTCAGGGACCACAGCTCATTGGTGACGCCTGCAGGGGGGGGGGGGGGCAACGGGCAGGCAGGGCAACCCAACAGGGCAGGTTGCCAGGGATGCCACCCTGGCGGGGCACCTGGCGTGTGCCAGGGTGGCACAGCCAGCCGAGGCCGGCCTCTTCCTGGCATGCTCCTGCTCAGCCTTCCAAGGGATTGCCAGGCGGCGGCTGCCGCCAGCGGGGCCCCCGCCGCCGCAAAGGGCCCGCCACGCACCGTACGTGTCGCCCCCAAACATCAGCACCCTGCTCTCCAGCGAGAAGAGCGCGGTGCAGCAGCGCGCGCGTGGCCGTGCGCCAGCCAGCTTCACCTCGCTCCACGTCCCCCTGCAACCAGCCAGGCCAAGCAGGCGCAGCGGCCTCTTACAGTCCGCCAGCTGGGCAGCCGCGAAGCAGACAGCGGGCAGCAGGCTGGCTCCCCCGCAAGCTCTTGTGCATTGCCGCCAGCCTACGCGTCGTGTCGCGGCTCAGTGCTTCTGCCTGGAACACATGCACTGGCAGGCTGCTGCTGAGGGCTGGTCATTGCCAAAACCAAGGCGCCGCTGGCTGCAACATAGCAGCCGCATCACACTGCAGCCAGCTGCGCTCACCGCTCCAGGTCAAACAGCCAGGCGTCGTCCAGGCGCCGGTTCATCGAGTCGGCGCCGCCCACCACCAGCAGGCGGGAGCCGCCCACGGCGCACATGGCGGCGCGGTCGCGCGGGCAGGGCTGCGGCGCCTCGGGCGCCTCCCCCGACAGTCGGCTCCAGCGCCAGGTGTCGGTGTCGAGGCACCACAGGTCTGCAAACTGGTGCAGCTTGTGCAGCTGCTTGACATACACGTGCCTGCGGGGCAGGGGAGGGGGCAGGGAGGGGGCGGGGCAGGGCGGGGCATGCACCAGCTTGGTTGACCAACATTGGCGGGCAAAGCAGTGCCTGCTGAAATGTGCCTTTGGCTGCTGGAACTCAGCAGGCCGTGATTGAGCGGGGCGGCCCAGCCCGGCAGGTCGCAGGCGCGGCTGCTACTACTGCTAAGTACAGCGCAAGCAGCAGCTGTGTGGCGCCGGCAGCCTTCCTCACCCGCCAAACAGGTACATCTTGCTGCCGATGACGGCGGCGGCGTGGAAGGCGCGCGCGGCGGGGCCCACCGCCGCCTTCTCCGGCGCAAACCACGCCTCTTGCTCGCACTGCAGCACCGCCAGGTCGTCCAGGGCCTCCTTGTGGCGGTCGATGCCGCCAAACACCACCTGTATGTATGTGCATACAGTTGGGGCACAGGGGGCGGGACACGTAGGGGAGAGTGGAGCCGGGCATGCCATGCACCCTGGGCCTCCGCTTGGCCACACAGATCAAAGCCCTGGCGCTCGAACAGGCCCATTGCCCAGAAACTCACCAGAAACTCCTCGCCCCACGTCGGAACGGCGTTCACCGTGACGGCGCTGTGCCCGCAGCGCGCCGCCGGCTGGTTGGCATAGCTGGCCTCCATCCACCGCGCGCGCACCGTGTCTAGCGCCATGCCGACAGCCTGCTGCACCTCCTCCACGTGGAATTACTGGGCAGAGAGGAAGCCTGGGGCTTGGAGTGGCAGCGAATCGGCGGGGCTGCTCAAGTGATCTGCCACAGCTCTGGATGAAGCTAGCAGCTCCTGCTTCTGATCAGGCCGCTGATAGGTGCGGGTTCACGAGTCGGGGCTCCACCAAAGCCGCTCGCCTCGACCAGGCGCTAACCCTGGAATAAACCAGACTCAGGTGTGAAATCTCAGCGATTGATCAAGTTGCTGAACGCACAGATCAACCCCGCCAGCTTGGCGCCGCCTGGCGAAGGCGCCGGCGGGCAAGTAGTGCTGCTGGTGGTGCTTATGCCTTCTTCACAGCTTTGCTCGTGCAAACTTGATGGGCTTACACTGACGCAACGGAGCATGGCACGCTCGCAATTGCAGTGCCTGAAATGTTCTTATCTACTCCCACCGCACACTCCTCAGCCCGCCCACGGCTGCTGCTGCTCCCCCTGCAGCTGCGCCAGGCGCTGCAGCAGCCGCGCCTCCACGCCGCTCACCTCCCTGGGCAGCTGCACCAGCACCTCGAAATGGTGGGAGCCGCAGGGGCGCGGCCCCCGCCCCTCGCGCCGCACCCCCGCCCGCGGCACCGACAGCACCGCGCCGTGCTGGGTGCCGGGCGGGATGGCCAGCCGGGCGTCGCCGTGCAGCGTGGCGACGGTGGTGGTACCGCCTAAGCACACGTCCCACAGTGGTACCGCCAGCTGCGAGTGCAGGTCCAGGCCCCGCCGCCAGATGCCCTCCTCCTGGGCCACCTGCAGGCAGAAGCGGGCACGCACGGCGGCGCTTAGAGGACGCTACGCCGCGCTGCTATCGCGGACTCCACCCCTGCTGCTGCGGCATTCCATCTTTGCCCATGCAACAGCACAGCGCTGCGCCTGTGCAGCAAAAAGAGGGCAAGCGGGCGCACAAACCGCCAACTCGCCTTGAGCTCTAGCACCACTGCCCCCCGCGGGCCGCTCGCCCTGCCGACGCTGCCCTCGGCGCCCAGCCTCAGCGTGCTGCCGCTGTCCACGCCGGCCGGCACGTGCACCGCCACGCGCCGCGGCTGCTGCGTCAGGCCCTCCCCGCCGCAGCAGGAGCAGGGGTGCAGTACCCGGAAGCCGCGGCCGCCGCACACGGGGCAGCACACCACGGCGGTGCCGGCGGCTGCAGCCATGGGGACAGTGCAGCAAAGCGGGGGTTGGGAGGGAGGTGGCAAGCAGGGCGTGCAGGCCTGCCTTTCCGGCTGCCTCCTCACACCCCTGCCCAGTGCAAATGCAAGCCACACGGCTGCTCACAGCACAAGCAGCCGCGCTCCCGCCTCCCGCCTCCCGCCGCCGCTTGCCTGCGGCGCAGCCATTGGGCAGGGTCCCCCGCTGCAGCCGCACGATCTCCCCTCGCCCTTTGCACATGGAGCAGGGCGGGGAGTAGGTACCCGGCTGGCCGCCGGTGCCCTGGCACTGCCCGCAGGCATCCTGCACCTCCAGCAGCACGCTGCGCTGCGCCCCAAGCACCGCCTCCCGGAACCCCAGCCGCAGCTCAGCCCACACGTCTGGCGGCGCGCGCTCCCTGCCGCGCGGCGCGCGGCTGCCGGGGCCTGGGCCGCCGCCGCCGTCGCTGCCCTCGCTGCCGCTGCCTCCGAACCGCGCCTGCTCGTACTCCCAGCGCTGCTGCTCATCGGACAGCACCTCAAAGGCTCGGGAGATGGCCTGGAAGCGGTGCGATGCCTCAGGGGAGGGGTTGACGTCGGGGTGCCACTCGCGCGCTAGCCGCCGGAAGGCCTGCTTGACTTCTTTGCGACTGACGCCGGGGTCGGGGCGCAGGCCGAGCATCGCAAAGTGGCAGGTGTGGTCGGCGGTGGCGCTGTGGGTGGCGTCGCCGCTCCTCCGGCCGCCGCCGGCGGCAGCGGCGGCGGCGCCAGCGCTGCAGCGATGCCGTCTGCGAGGAGGCGGGCGGCCCCTGGCGCTGCATCTGCTGCAGCTGCGCCGCAGCCATACCGCCCGCTCCGCGAGCAGCGCCGGGCATGGCATGGGTTCCGCGCCGCACCTCCCTGCGCTGCTGCTGCAGCAACTGCAGCACGTTCGAAGATGGTGGAGCACCAGGTTTGCAAAGCTTGACCCCCGCGCGATGCCAGGTAGGACTCGGGCAAACCTGAGGACAGATGTGCGCAGGTCTCATTGCCTCCCGCATTTCTGGGTCTCTCGCCGACGTCATTTCACTTTCAAACGGCGCGCGGGGCCTGCACCAAACGGAGTTGACTTTGAACGGTGCTGGCGGGTGTGATGGAGCGCACGGCGGGCGCCTGCAGGGCTGCGCGCTAATCAGCCATGCAGCTGGAGCAGCGGGGGGCGCCCCTGCAGCGGGGCGCGCTCGTGCGCCATGCCGGCGGCTGCCTGTCGCCGCGGGTGCTCGACTTCCTCTGCTTCGACACGCCCCGCTCGGTGCTGGGCAGCGAAGAAGGGGAGGAGGAGCTGCCATTCTACCTGGCGGATCAGGCCAGTCTGGAAGACCATGTGCGCCAGGTGCGCGGCAACCGCCTGGGCGGCGGAATACCCGTAGGGGGGCGGGTGGAGCCGCGTCAGCAGCTGCAGCGACCTTGTCGGCAGTGTTTGCCATTTGCCACTGTTGAGCGCCATGGATGCGTGCGCCGTACTGGAATGGTTAATCCCAATGCATCGCCGCCTACACTCGTCGCTGCCTCGAGGCGCCTCCCCGCCATGCACCGTGTGCAGGGCCTGCTGCCGTGCCCCGCGCTGTGGGTGGAGCGGTCGGCGGCGGCCGCGGGCTCCGCCCCGCTGCTCGTGCTGTACCGCCTGGGAGGTGCGGTACAGCACTGCGCGCTGCCGGGCAAGCCCATCAAGCTGCAACCCGTCAAGGCCGGCGGCGGCGGCGGCGGCGGCAGCGCGCGCCAGGGCGCCGCCGCCTGCCGATCCTTTGTGTCCAGCCGGCGGCACATGCAGCTGTACCGCCTGGTGCTCAGCCTTTTCCCCAAGCTGCAGCAGCTGGACGCAGACCTCGCTGGCGGCGCCGTGGCGCTGCGCGGCGCGGGGCCAGCGGCGGCGGCGGGCTGGGCGGCGCCTGGGCTTCTGGCTGACACCGCCACGCCCGTACTGCAGGTGGGTGCTGGCTGCCCCTTGGCTTGGTGCATGCATCGTGCGGGCGGGACAGGGGTGGGGTGTTTGGGGAGTTCATTCAAATGAGGGGCGACCATCCCTGTTTGCCTTGGTGCTGCATGCATGCATGGCGCATGCGCACATGCACGTGCACTCCTTGCGAGGCAATGGTCCCGCATTGAGGTACTGCTTGCCAGTAGTTTTGCTGGGCGGTACGCCAGCCCATGCATGCACGCATGCACGCTCACCGCTCACCCCCGCCGCGCGGCCGCCGCCGCAGGGCGTGCTTCTGGAGCGGCTGGACGAGGGCGGCGAGCCGCGCCAGCTCACCGTCGCCCCCGACTTTGCCCACGCCTGCCTGGTGCTGCTGCAGGCGCCCGGGCCGGGGCCCACCCCCGACTGCCTGCGCACAGTCAACTGCCTCTCCGAGGCGCTGGCGGTGCTTCACCGGGACACGGGCTGCCTGGGCCCGCCCTCTCTCACCGCCTCGCCAGTCAAGCCAGGCGGCGGCATCAAGCGCGGCGGCGGCGCGCCGCCGCCAACTCCCTTCCAGTCTCCGTCCAAGCCGCCGCTGCCGGCAGCGCACGGCGCCGAGGCGCTGCGGCTGGCGGTGGCGCTGGTGCAGGAGTGCGGCTCGGGGCGGCTGCGGGAAGGCCTGGCCATCTTATCGGCATCAGCAGGCAGCCCACAGCTCTGCGCCGCGGCGTTGGGGCTGGGTGCCATGGAGGCGCTGGTGACGGCGGCGGCCACCGTGCTGCCTACAGCTTCGATGGGCATGGCCGAGCTGCAGCCGTCGATCGCGGTGGCAGTCGCGGGGCTGCTGGATGCCGCGCCGGCGGCGGCCGCCGCCCCCGCCCGCCTCGTCGCCATCCTCGCCGCCGTGCTGCGGCAGAGCTGCGCCAGCCCGCTGCTGCTGTGCCGCCTGCTGGTGGCGCTGCTGGCGCGGCCGGATGTGCGGGCAGAGGCGATGCGGCAGGGGCTGGCAGGCTCCATAGCAGCCATGTACGCCCGCGCATCGCCCATGGCGGTAGCAGCGGCCGACGCACTCGCCGGTGCCGGCGGCAGCAGCAGCCAGTTGGTCAGCGGCGGCGGCGGCCAGGCGCCCGCGGCGCAGCCGGGGCCGCTGGGCTTTGGCTCTCCGCTGCAGGGGCAGGCGGCAGGCGGCGAGCAGCCTTTCGGTTCGGCCGGCAGCGGCAGGCATGGGCAGGTGTCGCACCTGGTGGCTGCCTACAACGCCCTGTCGGACAGCGGCTCAGACTGCTCACCCTCTGCCAGCCGCAGCGCCTCGCCCGTCAAGGTGGGCGGCCGCCGACTGCCGGGCCGCTGGCCTGGCCAAGCAAGCAAAGGCACCAGCTGCCTGCCTGCCTGCGTGGCACGGGTCTTGGAGCAACTACAGTGTGTGATAGTGTGAGATATGCATGCGTCCCCTCCAAGCTTCACCCCCTGCCTCCCTTGCCCCCCTACAGGGCTCCCCCATGCGGTCTCCCTCTGCCCTGTCCAGCGGCCGCTTCTCCGTGCCCCGCCTGGCGCTGCCCGCCTGCGACTCCCCCACCGGCGCCGGCCCCGGCGGCGGCCTGACCCGCTCCACGCGCCGCGTGCTGAGCGGCACGCCCGGCGGCGCGCGCAGCCCCAGCCCGTACGCCAGCCCCAGCCGCCGCGCCGGCACGTGCGACGGCGGTGGCGAACCGGCAGCTGCCGCTGAGCTGGCGACGCTGGCCAGCGCTCTGGGGGAGAGCCTCATGGCCGCTGACCTGCCTGCTATCGTGGCCCACAAGCGGCTGGCGGATGCGCGGCTGGGCGAGGCGGAGGAGGAGGATGGCGTGCCCGCTGGTGCGTGCGGGGCAGGCGGCGGCGCGGCTGGCTGGGGGGCCTGCCGGGGCGCCTGCTGCGCCTGCACCTCAGCTCACATCAGGGCACAGCCACTGGCGCCACGCTCGGGGCATGGGCACACCCAGCCAGCGCTGTGGGTTGTTCGATTGAGAGACGGGCCTCCTCACGGCCACTCTTCTGCCCATTTGTCCGCTGCAGAGCTGCTGGAGGCGCCGGTACCGGGTGGTACCGGTACCGCCCCCGCGACGGGGGGAAAGAAGGTCCTGGAGGCGCACCGCATCCTGGTCACCGCCCGCTCGCTGCGCAGCGTGGACAGCAGCGCAGGCCGCACCTCGGACGCCGACTCTGCCGCGGCGGCAGAGGGTGTGGCGGCGCGCTCGGCCCGCCTGGCGGTGGATGTGGAGCAGGTCAAGTGCCTGCTGCTGCGGGCGCTGGCGGCGGCGCTGCCCCTGGTGGAGGCCGAGGGTGAGGCTCCGCACCCGCCGCGGTGCTGGCAGCCGGCAGGCGGAAGCTTTGCTGTGTGGGGCGGGCACGTGTCTGGGCAGTGGCGGTATTCGGTATTTGAGGCGGGATTTGAGCGCCGCCTCGCCACCTCGCCAGCTCAGCAGAGCGGTGGCTGTGGCTGCAACGCACGCAGCGCTAAGCCGGCCCTGCCCCTTGCTCTCCCACTGCAGGCTGGCCGCCCAGGGACCCCTCCCCCATGCTGGCGGCTGAGGTGGTGGGCCTGCTGGGCCGCCCCCTATCCCCCACACAGGAGCAGCTCAAGAGCCTGGCCCTGCAGGCGCTGCTGCGGCTGTCCCAGCGGCCCACGGCGGCGGCCGCCGCGGCAGGCGGCCGTCGCCTGGGCTCCAGCCCGGCCTCTGCCGCCGCCGGCGGCGGCGGGCGGCACGTGCTGGTGGCGGTGGCGGGGCGGCGGCTGGAGGCGCTGACCGGCGGCGGGCCGGCCGAGGGGGAAGCCAGGGGGGAGCTGCTGGCGCTGCTGCAGCTTCTCACCGACTACACGACGGCGGTACAGGAGCCGACGGTGGCAGAGGCGGTGGTACGGCACTGCCTCACCAGCCTGCAGTCGCTCATGGGCGTGCTGCAGGCGGCGGGGGTGGATGCAGCGGGCTGGGCGCCGCCCACCTGGCAGCTGCTGCACGCCCTGGTGCTGCTGCTGGCGGCAGCGTGCAAGAAGTGCGAGGAGGCAGAGGCTGGGCGGGGCCTGCTGGCGCTGCTGCTGGGAGACCAGCAGGCAGCTGCCATGCTGGCGGGGGCAGCCGGCCACGTGCTGCTGCTGCCGGAGCCGGCGGCGGCCGGCGCCGGCGCCAGCCTGGCGCAGCGCCGCCGGGCGGCGGCCCTGCAGCGCGACCTGCTGCAGCTGTTTGCCGCGCTGGCGGCGCTCGTGGGGCGGCAGCCGCCCTGCGTGCGCCAGCCGCATCACCCACGGGAGGCAGACAGGGCTGCCTCCCGCCTCTCAGCCGCCTCCTCGGCGCTGGACAGCGGCCGGGACGCGCACCAGGACCCAGGCCAAGACCTGCTGCTGGGTGGGTGGGCTGCCGCAGCTCGGCATTGCACACGCCGTGCCTGGCTGCACGCCGCAACCCGGCCTGCTGCCTGCTGCGAGATGCTTGCTGCATCGAACCCGACATGCATGCGGCGTGCCCTGTCCTGCCCGGCTGGGCCTGCAGGGCTGAGCGCGCGGCGCGGCCTGACACGCCGCAACGCCCTCCTCTTCTTCGGAGTCCTGGTCAGCCCGCACTCCGGCCTGGCGCAGCGCATCCTAGACCACGAGCCCTACCCAGCAGCCGGGGCGGCGCCAGGCGCTGCCGCGGCGCCCGGCAAGGGCGCCGCCGGGCCGCAGCTGCCACCATCGGCGTGCGGCCCCGGGGGCGGGCCCGGCATGCCGGCCAGCAGCATCGTGCGGCTGCGGCAGAGCCTGCTGGAGCTGCTCAAGGCGGCGTTTGCGGCGCCGGGCAGCCCCTTTGCCGCCGACAAGTTCGTGTCAGGTGGGTGGTGGTGGTGCCAGCATGAGGCTGAGTGCGGCGTGCCCGATGGCCTCTCCGGTAGGCAGCCGGGCAGGCCAGGCTGCAGGCGCGTGCCCCAGCAGCCTCTCGGCTGACGGCGTCGATGCGGTGCCCGCTGGCCTCCTGCCGTGCACCGCTCACCCAGCCTGCCCACCAGGCTGCACCCCTCCCTCCTCCCTCCCTCCCTCCCTACGAAAAGCTCGCTCGTGTTTCTGGTTAACAAATGTTTAACACTTTCTGGTTGTTTCTGTTTAACAAATGTGTTGTAACCTTCAAACCACCCCCCTGCAGACTTCTACATCCGCTTCCACTTTGTCCAGTTCCTCAAGCTGTACCACAACCCGCAGCGGGACCACCAGGCCCTCTTCCTTTGCCGCCAGCACATGGACACGCTGCTGACGCTGGCGGGCGACAGCAGCCCCCACATCCGCCACCGCTTCCTCCAGCTGTCGGGTGAGGCGGCGGCGGCGGCGGCACGGTTGGCACGATGCACGAGGGCAGCCCCACCCTGGTGCATTGTGCAGCAAAGGATGCACCTCCCTTGTGCGGCAAAGGCCGCACCCGCTCTCCCTGCGAGGCCCAGGAGCCTGCATAGTAAACGGGCGCCGGGGCCAGCACACGCCACGCCCGACCCAAACCTTGCTGCGGCGTGTGGCGACGCTGGTTGCTGCGCCCCGGATGGCCCTGTCATGATCTAACTGTACAGTTGTCGCTGCCCCCTGCCCCTGCCTCTGCGCTTGCAGTGGTCGACTTTTTCGTGCGGGAGCTGAGCCTGGAGTTTGAGGCGAAGCAGCCCGCCCGCGGCCGCATGCACCGCCTCAGCAGCAGCGGCAGCCAGCTGGACCACCGCCGCACCTCCTCCTCCTCCACCCTCGCCGGCCTCGAGTCGGGCAACGCCTCGCCCGTGCCCTCCCTGCGCCTCCCTACCGTGCACGAGCCCCAGCCGGCGGCGGGCCTGCCGGCGGGCGTGCCGCTGCTGCGCCTGCCGTCCCGCGGCGGCGGCGGCGGCGGCGGCGGCGGCGGCAGCGGCTCCTCCTCGCCCGCGCCGCAGCTGCCGCCTGGCATCGGCATGGGAGCCAGGGGATTGGCGGTACCGCGCCTGAACCTGGGTGGAGGGCCCTCCCTGCCCAGCCCCGGGGGCCAGAGCACCCCTAGCCCCGGCAACAGCGCACGGCACGGCCGCCCGCCGCTGCCGCCCTCTGCCAGGTCTGGCGTGGGTGCCACGCCCAGGCTGACCAGCCGGCTGGGTCGCACCATGTCTGCTCGTTCCGGTGACATGGCTGGCGCGGCGGCCGCGGCGGCCGCAGCGGCGGCGGCAGCGGCGCCACCGCCACCTCAGCACGCCGCGGCCCACCGCACGAGCAGCAGCGGCGGCCTGGGCCCAGGCTCCGGCACTGCCGCGCCCCTGGGCAAGCTGGGCATCCCCAGGCTGGGGCTGGCGGGGCTGGGGCGCAGCCTCGGCGCGCCGGCACCCGCGGCCGCCTCGGAGCAGCCGCCCGCGGCGCCTCCTGCCCCCGACACCCGCCCCGCCAGCCGCGTCCACTTCTCCACGCTGCCTCCCGCCGCCGCGCATACCGCGTCCGACGACGAGGACAGCGACTCGGACGGCAGCAGCGACGGCGGGGCAGCGGCGGCGCCGGGCCGCGGCGGCGTCTTGCGGCCCACCCCTCCGGGCTTTGACGTGCCTGCTGGCTTCCGGTTCACCGGAGATCTGGAGGAGGATCTGGAGCGGCTGGAGGCGCTGGAGGGAGGCCAGGCGCGCGGGCCGCCAGCCTCCAGGGTGGTCCCTGTCTCTTGGGTGCTCTCTCGCTCTCTCGCTCTCCCCCACCCAATGTGCCTTTGCTGCCACTTGTGTCCCTCCTGTCCCTGGCTGCCCGTACGCGGTGCTGCCTTTGGCAGCCGCTTCCCCTGCCTGCCGCGCAGCCTGAAGCTTGCCTGGGCCCTGGTTCCCCTGCTTGGCCTGCGCAGGATTCGGCGTCAGAAGGTGAGTCGGACGGCGGGTATGGGCCTGAGAGCGAGAGCGCCTCACCCACCATCCCAGCCCTGCGCAGCAGCCCCTTCCAGCAGGCGCGCGGCCCCGTGCCCCCGCTGCCGGCGGTGCCCGGCCGGGCCAAGACGGCGCTGCCGGCGGCGCCGGCGGCGGCCGTAGAGCAGGCGCCGGGCAGTGGCGGCGAGCGGGGCAGGGTGGTGCCGCAACTCAACCTCGCCAGCTCCATGCACTCAACCCTGGAGGCCCGCAATGCCAGCGCAGAGATGCAGGTGCGATCCGGCCAGGATGGCGCAGCCCGGGCATGGGGTCTGCTGTGGGTGGTGCCTGCTGAGCTTCTCGCCATACAACACCCCGCTGCGCCTGATGCCCACCTCAGCCTCCTCCCACCCGCCCCCACCCGGGCCCCTTCCCCCCTCCCTGCAGCTGGCTGCTGAGGCGGAGCAGGCCAAGGCACGGCAGGGGCGTGGCGCGCTTGGCGAGCCGGAGCGCGGCGCGCCGGGCAAGGGCAGGGCGCAGGCGGCCGGCATGCGCGCACTGCGCAGCTCGCTGTCGGGTGAGCGCCTAGCGCGGCGGCGGCGGCGGTGGTGTGCGGGGGATGGTGGCGGCGGGGTGGTGTGGTGCGCTGCGCGGTTGTGGGCGGGGGTGCATTCAGCAGAGGCCGCAGGCATTCAGCTTCCCGCAGCCACTGCTAGGCGATCAGGTGCCCAGCAGACCCCCCGCTGCGTGCTGGAAAGGTTGCCTCACAGGCCCGACACATGCACCCCATCCCACGCCCACCCCCACCTCCACCCCCACCCTCCTCCCGCCCTCCCCCAGACATGGCGGGCCTGAGCGCCGCCGACGTGTCGTACAGCGAGGAGCGCGGGCGGCGGCTGCTGTACCGCGACGAGGGCCTGCACCTCGAGGTGCTGCAGCTCGTCTTCCGCCTCATCCTGGCGCAGGGCGGCCACCTGGATGCCGCATACTGCGACCAGTACCCCTGGGAGCGCAAGCTGCAGGTGGGTGCCTGTGTGTGTGTGCGTGTGTGTTTGTGCACGTGTCTCTGTCTGTGTGTGAGGGTGCGGGTGTGCCCCAGTGCGCCTCGGCGCTGCCCACCGCCACAGCGTCGCTCTGCCCCACTGGCCTGCCTGCTGCCTCTCATTGCCCCCCGCTGCCCCTCCCCCGCTCCCCAGAACATCCCATTCATCCTGTACCATCACCTGAATCACGAGGAGAACCGCCCCCTGCTGCCCCACCTGCTGCCCCGCCTGGCGGCATCCGGTACCGCCGGTACCGCCTCCGGCGGCCCCGGCGGCGGGCACGGCGGCGGCGGGCACGGCGCCCCCGCGCTGCGCCTGCTGCGCCTGCTGTGCGCCGCTTTCTTCCGACCGGAGTGGTACACAGGCCGCTCCCGCATCTCCTCCGCCGCGAGCGCCTACTCGACTGTCTACCGGGCCAGCCTGCCGGCCTGGGCGGGCGACGGCGGCGTGGTGCTGAAGCTGGTGGACACGCCGCGGCACATCCAGGACCGCTGCGCACAGGTGGGCGGTACCGCCAGGTCGGGTCGGCGTGGCGGGGTGTGTGGGCTGGCTGCGGTTGCGGGACCTCTGGCGCGCTGGAAGGGTGCAATGCCAGCCAGCGGGGGAGCCGCACGGTGGGGACGTAGCCGGCACGTGCGCCGCGCGCCCGAATGCCGTGCCCCCCTGCCTCCCCCATCCGTCAGCCTCTCAATAGCTTGCCCCACCTTGCCCCCCACCGTCCGCGCCCACGGGTGGCCCCCGGCCCTCCCCGCGCAGGTGGATGTGCAGGGGGAGGTGTCGGTGCTGGAGGCGCTGGCGGGCAGCCCCGCTGCCTGCCAGCTGCACGACTACGGGGTGGACCCGGCGGCAGAGGCGATGTTCCTGGTGCTGAAGGACTACAAGTGCTCGCTCAAGTGGGTTGTTGTTGTTGTTGTGTGTGTGTGTGTGTTGCATGTGTGTGTTGCGTTTGTTTGTGATGAAGTGCAGTGTGTGTGTGTGTGTGTGTGTGTGGGGGGGGGGGGGTGTACGTGGGGCTCCTGGGTGAGTGCTGGCGTGGGTGGAACTGGGACTCTGCGAGTGTGGGACGCTGCGGGTGGTTGTGGGGATGCCCATCCCGAACCGCCATGCTGCCGCCCATGCTGCCGCCCGCACCCCCCGGCCGGCCGCCCCGCAGGCAGTGGCGCGCGCGCCAGCCCGCCGCCCCCGCGGGCCAGCTGCGCCTGTACCTTGCGGTGTTTGGGGAGGTGGCGGCGGCGGCGGCGGCCCTGCTGGACAGAGGCGTGGTGCACTTCGACCTGAAGTGTGATAACTGCCTGCTGGAGCCGCTGCCGGGTGAGGCGCCCGCTCCCCTCCCCGCCCCCCGCGCGCACGCCGGGCAGGGGCTGTTTGTCGAAAGCAGCCCGCCGCGCCGAGTGCCCGCGGGCTGTGCGTCTGTCGGGCAGGCTGTGCGCTTGGCAGCTGCATGTGTGTGCGTGCATGTATGTATTCATCACGGCTCGGCAGAGGCCAGGCGGCCCGTGCCAGGCGCGCAATCCAGCTGGGACCCCGCAGCAGCAGCAGTGTGTTGGCGCGTGCGACGTGGCGCCGACCCGTGCCCGCCCGCCTCCCTCCCCTCCCGTGCCCCTCCCCACCGCCAGGCGTGAGCGAGGCGGAGTTCTGGAGCCCTTCCACCGAGCGCCTGCCCTTCCGAGTGGTGCTGGCTGACTTTGGAGAGAGCAAGGCGTTCAGGTGGGAGCGGAGGGTGGCGAAGGGTTGGAGAGGGTGGAGGCCGGGCGGGGCCCGATTTGCTGCCGCCCGCCTGCCGGGCATCGGAGAGTGGTGGCTGCTCGGCTGCCTCCCTGCACACACACGCACACGCACACGCGCGCGCGCGCACACACACACACACTCACCGCGTTTCACCTCCCAGCTCACAAGCACTTGGCGGCTAAGGGTCCCTGACGCGCGCTCCTCCCCGCTGCCCCCCCTCCCTTGCCCCCTGCCTTGGCAGCGAGGGCGCCGACGCCGCCATTACTGCCCGTGCGCGCGGCACCGACTGCTTCAAATCCCCCGAGATGCTGCTGGCAGGGGGCGCCTCCCACCGCGTGGAGCAGCGCCTGTACGACCGGCGTCGGCGCCAGGGCGCGGGCCCCGCCTCCGACGTTTGGTCCCTGGCCTGCCTGCTGTTCGAGCTGGTGACGGGTGCGCGGGCGCGGGCGTGCCCGCTGGCCTCCCCCTGCTGGCTGCGCCCGCTTGCTGCCCGTGGGCCCCGCCACATGCCTGCACGCTTGTCAGGAACCATTACAGCCCCCACCACCCGCCGCCCACCCCGCCCGGTGTCATCACACCACCCGCCGCCGCCCTCGCCCATGCTTCTTCCCCCACCATGCCTCTCTCCCCTGCCTGCCCCCATCCTCCATCCCTCCCGCCGCAGGCAAGCTGCTGTTCAGCGACAGCGACTGGGTGCAGCTGGTGGCGCGCGTCACCTCACCCTCCATGCCTCTCATCACAGAGGACAGGGCCGCGCTGGTGGCGGGGCTGCCAGGTCAGCATCATGCATGCATGGCGCTCGGGAGCGGGCCGGCTGGCTCGGTGGCTGGGGATGCGGTACCGCCAGGCAACTGCCCGGCGGTACGCTACTCGCCCACGGTGCCTGCCACACAGCACACACTCACACCACCCCAACCATCGCCAACAACTGGCTGCCGCTCCACTTCACCGCTGCGCCTGCCCGCCACGCGGTCCTGCCTCTGCCTTGGGTGCAGGCCTGCTGGACCTTCTGCGGTACATGCTGGTACGGGACGCCCGCATGCGCCCCACGCTGGCAGACGTGCAGGCCAGGTGCGGAGGCGCCTGCCTCCCTTGCGCCTGCTTCCCTTGTGCCTGCTTCGCTTGTGCCTGCCTGTGCAGCGCACAGGCTGTCCAACCCCTCCAGCACAGGCTCACCGGACGCTCACCGGAAAAGAGCAAATGCCAAACTGCCCCCATCGTTCGGCGCCTCACCCATGCTCGCCGCTGCCCCCACCTCTGCGCCCTCGCAGGCTGGCCGCCCTGCGCAGCAGCGGCCGGGTGCGGCTGCCGCCGCACGTGCGCGGCACGGCGGCGCCACTGTCCAGCCGCTGCTCCTCCGGCGGCCTTCACCCCTCTGGCGGCTCCCAGCTCTTCTCCCCCACGAGCTACGCACCCTCCCCCAAGGCCTCCATGCCCATGCCGCTGCTGGCGGCGCTGCCGCTGTCGCCACACCTGCTGCTGGCGCCGCTGGCGCTGCTCGGCGGCGCCGCGCCGCTGCGGCAGCACCCCGCACGCCGCGTGGTGCTGCTCTTTGGCCTGCCGGGAGGCGGCCCCGGCGGCTCGCCCAGCCGGCGGGGCAGCCAGCGGGGCGAGGGGCTCTCCCCGGCTTCCTCCCCAGGGAGCCGCAGCGGGGGCAGCAGCCGCAGCAGCTCGCCGCCGCCGGGATACCGCCAGTACGGCGGCGGTACGCCCGCCTGCGCCACCACCTTCTCCGCCAACCCCGTGTTCAGCCACGACGGCGGCGGCGGCTCGCTGTCATGCGGCGGCGCCTCTACCGCCTCCCCTGGCCTCCCCCGCTCCTCGGCTCGCACCCTGATAGGCACCCCGCGCGCCGCGCTGCGCTTCGGCTCCGCCTCGGTACATCCAGAGCCGCAGGAGGAGGGCAGCCACAGCCTGGCAGGCGCAGCAGCAGCGGCTGCGGCGGCAGAGGCGGCAGAGGCGCTGTCGGCGTCTGCCGCCACCAGCCCTGGCTGCAGCCCCACACGGCCGCTGCTGGGGGTGGCCAGGGTGCACCCAGAATGCAGCCCGGGCCTGCGGCTGGCGCCCAGCCCCGTGCAGGAGCCTCGCGGCCTGCAGCTGATTCTGCCGCCGCCGCAGGCGGCTGCGGCTGTGGCGCCCGGCGGCACGGGCCGTGGCAGTGGCGGCGGGGATGCTGGCCTGCTGGCGGGCGTGCTGGCGGATGGCGAGCTGGCGGCGGCGGCGGCAGCCTGCGCTGCGGCGGGGGTGGAGTGCCGCCTGGCGCCCGCCTGCGCCATGGGCCGCGAGTCGCGCATGCAGCAGCCGCTGGCGCTGGCACAGTGGCTATCGCAGCGGGCGATGCCGCTGCTCTGCGGCGGCGGCGGCGGCGCCTGCGGGGCGGCCGGCCAGCAGCTGCCGGTGATGGTGGCGGTGCAGGCGGGATGCGAGGCGGAGGGTGCCATGGCAGCTGTGGCGCACCTGATGCAGTACCGCCAGGTCAGCATGTACCATGCCATGGTGGCGGCCAGCCAGTGGGGCATAGACCTCCACCTGCGCCCCCAGCACATGCTGGCCCTGCAGCACTGGGCAGCCACGGACGGTCCCGCGGCGGCAGTACCGGCGTTACCCTCGGCCCGCGGCACGCCGTCCGCGGGCAGCGGCGATGGCTGGCGGTAGCCGGCGCAAAGCGCGCGCTCCCCATGCTGTTTCCTAACCCCATTAGCAAAATTACTAGCTTTAGCTTTCAGTGTCTATCCAGGCACCTCTTGCACTACACCCTCTGCCTTGCCACCTTTGTTCATTATGGTGACTGCACGCGCCCTCCTGCACCGCACGCTGCTTGAACTCTCCCGTGGCCCGCCGCCGGCCGCATCCCGCATCCTCACTCAGTCTGCACAGTTTACACTTGCCGCTCTCCCTGCAACCAATTCTCAACGGTAACCAAAGCAAACAGCAGAACAGCCGGCGTGGAACAGAAACAGCTCTGGGGCGCAGACCAAAAAAGGTTGTCGACGCGGGGCCGCTCAGCGGCGCCCCACGCCTGCCGCTCCCCTCGGGTGGGCAGCTCAGCCTCCGCTGCCGGACGCGTCCTGAGCGCTCGCAGCACGCAGAAGGCCGACAGCGCGGGTGCCATCCCCGCCCCGCCAGAGGCCGCTCACGCTCACAGCAGCGCTCACACACACAGCAGCGCTCACAGCAGGCCCGCCGATGTGATGAGGATGGCCTGCAGCGGGCGGCCCCACTTGGACCGCGTCTTGTCTGCCCGCTCGTCGCCTATGAAGGAGGCAAACTGGTTGAACGCGCGGGCGTTGTCGTTGGGGGTGAAGGTGGGCACCGCGGTGATTGCGCGGATGACCTCCAGACTCTCTGCATGGGGCAGGCGCGGGCGGCGGCGAGGCCGTGTTGCTGCACGTGTGTGTGGCATGGCGGCGGCGGCGCGACGGCGGCGGGTTTGCGGGTCTGGGGCCGCGGGGCGCCCTGCCGGCCCCGAGGCTGCCTGAAAGGTCGAGCACCTTTCGGCTGCCATCCCAGGCGGGGCACCGCTGCGCTGTGCACGCTGCGCTGTGCACGCTGCGCTGGGCGCCGCTGCGCTGGGCACGCTGCGCCCACCTGGCGTGACCTGCCCCACCACGATGTTCTCTCCATCCAGGCTGGGCACGGGTGCGGGCCCTGTTGTGATGAGCAGGGACAGGTTGCGGTAGCCCTTGTCGAAGCGCAGGTAGCTGTCGTCCACATTCTCTGTGGCGTGGGCGGCGCAGGGAGGCGGCAGGGGTGGGGCCATGGAGGCGGGCTAGGCGCGTGGAGGGGCCATGCCGGCGCGGGGCATGCATGCGTGGGGCATGCAGCAGGGGGATGCGGCTGGATACAGGCGCAGGCGGTTCATGCTTGCTTGCGTGCGTGTGTGAGCTCCGCAGCGGCGCACGGCTGCCACGGCGCAGCGCGGCTTGCGGCACAGGCGCGTCCGCCGCCGCGCCTCACCTGACAGGTTGAGCGACACGGTGCCCGGGCGGCGGTGGGTGAGGCGGAAGGCCGAGGAGGCGAGGATGTCTGGGTTGGGGGGCAGGTCTGGCGGCGCCTGCACCAGGCCGCTGCGCTTGGGCCCCTGTGCCCCCGCCACAATGAACCGCCCCGCCACCACCTTGCTGAGCGCGGTGTTGTCGTAGGCTCCGGCGGCCGCCGCGGCCACGATGTTGGCCACGCTGCCGGGGGCCGCCCGCCCAAACAGCTCGACCTGTATCCGCCCTAGCGGCTGAGGGTCAGTGCAGAAGGGAGTCTTGTCCCCCAGCGTGCGGTTGGTCCGCACCTGCGCGGCGGGCGGCGGGGAGAGGGAGGCCGGCGGGCAGCCGCCAGTGGGCCTCACCGCTGTGGCCCCGGGCAGGGTGTCAGCTGGGCAGGGCGGGGCAGCCAGGGTGTCAGCCTGCGGTGACGGGCAGCACCGCAGGCCCCGGGAGGGACTGCTGCAGGCAGGCATGTACTTGCGTACCGCTTCAGGGCACAGCCCAATGTCCAAATAGAGGCGGTGCGTGACAGTGGTGTCGACAGCCTCAATGCCAGAGGCAAGAGCAGGCAGCTCCACATCTGCCGCCGCCGTGGAGGCCGCCGCCAGCTGCGGCGCCGCCGCTGCGGCTGCCAGCAGGGCCAGCACGGCGCGGCGGCTGGCGGGCTCTGCGTCCTCTGGCTGCCCCGCGCGGCACCTGCGGCGTGGGAGCAGCACAGCATGTGAGACACGGTTGGGAACGGGAGGCGACCAGGTGGGCAGCGGCGGCGGCAGGGCGGGAATCCCTGCTCTGTCGGCCGATCATGCCGATCGCCACCTGGTGCTTGCCGCCCGTCTCTGCTGCCGCTGCTGCCGCACGGAGGCAAAGGGCTGCGCCCACGGCGTGCGGCACGACACTTGCGCTGCCATCTCGGCGCTTGGGAGCCCCGGGAAGCCCTGATCACCTGCAGAAATTGCTGGCAATGATGATCAAGCAGGAGCGGAATGGGATCTTTGTGGGCGAGCCTGGTCAGCCTTTCCTGCTCCCCAAACCGCCGAAATGGAGCCCCTGGCATTGTCCAAGCATTCTCACGATGCCAATTGTGCTGCTGGGACCCTGGGCAGCGCCCTGCGCCCGGCTGGCCAGAGTCCCCAGGCGCCGCCCTCAACTCCTCACCTGCACTGCCTTCGACGAGTGGCTGGAAGCCAATAGGCTGCCGGGCATAGAGCGGCGCGGCAGGAGCAGCAGCAGTGCCGACGGTGTTGTAGGAGGCGCGGAGGCACCGCCGCTGGCTGCCAGGCGACGCTTCGCCTGGGCTGAAGCCCCAGCCATTGCAGCCCACTGCTTGCAGCGCCACGGGCAGTGCCGGTGGGAGCTGGATGCTCCAGGCCTGCTTGTGGCCAGCAGCAGCGACGGCGGTGGGCTCGTGGCGAGGCTGGAGGTACCGCTGGTACTGGCCGGCACCCACCCAGACCTCTTTGTATGCGAGGAGCAGCTGTCCCCACTGCCTCCCCGCCCTGAAGCCGAGCACCAGCGGCTGCTGCAGGCGCTGGCCCGCCTGGCTGGCAGCGGTGGCACCAGCGATAGCAGCAGCAGCAGCAATGATAGCAGCGGCGGCGGCAGCAGCGGCGGCAGCAGCAGTGGCGGCAGCAACACAGCGCTCGGCAGGGAGCAGCCGCAGATAGGAAGCCAGCTGCTGGTGCTGCTGTCTGCAGACTCTGCGGCGCTGGCGCTGTACAGCCAGGGCCAGCTGGCCCGGCACAAGGTGCTCACCGGCTACACCGTGCGCAAGCGGCAGGGCAAGGCGCAGGCGGGCTACGAGCGGCAGGGCGGAGGTGGGCTGGGGCGGGCTGCCGCTGCGCTGCTGCCGGGGAAGTAGCCCAAATGCATAGGCCGCTCCTGCAACTGCCTGGTTGTCATGGCTTGAATCAACACTCTAATGAAAATAACTTTGGGACCCATTCTTTTTCGTCGCTGTGACGCAGGCATGGGCAGCGTTGGGGGGGCCATCCGCGCCCGGGAGAGCCGGCGCCTGTTCCAGGGCGCCGCCGCCACTCTGGCCTCCTGGCACCAGGACATTGCCGCCTGCAGCCAGCTGTTCCGGAGCGGCACAGGTGCGGCTACCTGCCTGGCCTCCTTCCCTTGGCTTCTGGGGCCGTGGCCCTGATGCGAAGGTCCTGCCGATGGGCTGCAACGGCCATGCCTGATTCCAAATGCCCCATGTCCCGCCCGCGCCGCAGTACGCGCGTGGAACGAGCTGTACGCCGCCGCCTCGCCGCCGCCGCCGCTCCGCCGGCGCGACCCGCGGTTGCGGTCTGTGGGGGTGGGGGTGCGGCGCCCGCGGCTGGCGGATGTGGAGCGGGCGTATGCGGTGCTGAGCCACGGCACGCTGTGCGAGGCCGAGTGAGGAGCTGCAAGTGTGCGGAGGGGCAGGCTGCGCCCCGGGACCCGCCGCCTGCCACCCACTGGAGCAGATTTAAATCAGCAGCTGATGCCTCTGGGCAGGTGTGTCGGCTGGAGCTTGCTGCGCTTCTGGGTGGTGGTCCCGCCCCAGGCCTCGGCCACACTGGCGCCGAGGCTGTGTGCGCATCCGTGGCGGCGGGCAGGATGATTGCAGCGCACCTGCGAAAGTTGCGGGGTGCACGGTCAAGGGGAGGCGAGCGCGTAACCAGGCATGCAGCCCCACCCCCACAGACCGCCACTGAAGACAACTCGAGGCGGCCCGGCCTGCAGGCACGGCCGTGCCGCCGCCGCTTTGTGCCCGTCGTCGGCGCGGAAGGGGGAGCTGGCGTCCCCCCTCCCGTGGGCTCCCTGACCGACGCTCTTGTGGCGGCCTTCTCTGCTACTTTGGTCGCCAAACAGAGCGCATGCGACATAAATCTCCGGTGAAGAATCGCCATGGTACTTACCCAGGTACTGGTAGCTGCGCTAGAGCAGGAAGAAGCTGGCGATCTTTATCACCTTCAGACCTCCGATACGCGGCTTTGCCAGTGAAAAGCGCAACCATGCCGCTTGCACCTGCCTGGCGGGCCATGTTCGCACATGCGGCCCAGATTGTCTTGCTCCTCGCCCCGATTGGCACCCTGGCGGCTCCCTCGCACTACTTCCAGATGCACGCCACCGACGCCGTGCGCGCCCACGCCGCCTCCATGCGCATGTGGGCTGGCTCGGCGGGGGGGGCGGCGAGGGACGCGGACGGGCACCGGGGCGGCGGCGCCAGGCGCCTGGCCAGCAAGCAGCCCAGGGGCGACGCCGTCGACTGCGGCAGCCCTCCCTCCAAGTCCGATCCAGCAGATCCTATGTGGTTCACACAGGCTGGCTGCTCCCTGGCCTCAATGGACAACTACTCTTATCTGGACGAGGCCGGTGCCTACCGTACCGCCAACAAGGGCGAGCTGATCCAGGCAGGCCGGCAGCGCGG